CATTTTTTTATTATTCTCAGTTTTTGTTGACTTACCACAATGACACTCTAATTCTCAAATCAAAAATTGACTGAAATGATTTAATATTGAAAATATTATTTTGTGTAGATAATAAACTTACATTTCTTTTATAGATGCTCAACTATTTATAATAATTTTAATGGTCTTATATATTTGTATGGATTATTAAGGGAGACTCAAGTATCTTTTAATATGAGTTACGGTGTCGATTTATTTATAGTGTTGGTAATTGTATGATTGAAAGACAATTGTTAGTATCAATTAACTTAGTATTTTTCAAAAGTACCTTATAATCACACTAGAGAACATGACTAACAATAGAACTATAAAATTAGACTTTATATCTTAATACATCGTTCTACAAATAACTAAATATAATATATATATATATATATATATATATATGTAAATTTTTTCTTTTTGTAAAATCTAATTTCCTATGATATTGTAACCGCATTTAACTATACGAGGTTTTCTCTTTTATTAGAAAATGGACATAAAGTTTGTATTATATATGAACTGTGAATATGTGAACATGATTTAAATAAAGTTAGAAAATTGATTTTTAAGCTTAATTTAATCATCAAAATCAACTTTCTTTATGTCGAGATATAAACATATGGAATGTGAGAGTAGAATTAAAGGGTGGTCCGATAGTGACCCGACAATGGGTAAAACAGAATGCCACATAGATCTGATTAGGATAGGCTTCAACCTGACTTTGATACCAGATTAAGAAAATGGTTTTTAAGTCTAATTCAATATCAAAAAATCGATTTATATAATAAGATTTGTACTTACTTATATATTATAATTTGATTTTATTTCTAGTCGACGTTTCAACTAATAACATGAATGAAAGACTAAGTTTAGGTATTATTATTATTGTTTGATGATGATAAGAGTTGATGCAGCATTATTTGACTATGAATGGTTATCGTGGTCATTTGCTGATCGCATAGCTACGTATACCTAGTTGCCCACATGACCACCACATGCATCAATATCCAAACAAAATGCCAATCAAGCTACTTTCCAGATTCCAAAAGTTCATGAAAGCATATCCTTCACTTCCACCTTTAAAGTCACACCAACCTTACGCTGAACTCCATACCTCATAAATGCTTAAAAATACTTTCCTATAATTAATAACTTGGAAAAAAAAATTAAGAAAACGTATGTATCAAACCAAACCTTCTCCGAGAACACTATACCTACTCACTTGAGAAACCCGAAAAAAATAAACCTTAAAATTGCCGACATGGGATTTGATTTTTCATATGATGCAATGAACAGCTTGAATGAGTTCAGCATCGTACTCTTTCAATTATTAGAATTTTACTTATGTTAACGATAACATAACAGACATTTTCGTATATGTGAGACTGAAATCTCTCTTAAATTGACGGCTTAAATACTTGTTAAACACATTCTGACACTTAAATCACTAATTAAAGTAGAAAATCTGAAACCAAACTTGTTATTAATCTAATAATAATCACCTTTTATTACATAACTCATTCATCAAGAAAGACTAATATTTTTAATTAAAGTTGTAATGAATGAGTAATTATCCGTGGGACAACTTCCAAACTTGTCATATTCCTTCTCCGAATCTTCCATACATCTTAATTGGCATCGAGGTTGTGGTAGGAAAGAGTAGCATCATGCTAGCTCTTACTGATTATATCTAATTTTTGTCAGAAAATATTTATAATTTTATAGAATCATTTTGTATAAGAACGAAGTGCTCTTAATGTGTTTCGAAATTTGTCATTGATTGTTTTTTTCTATGTAAAAATTGAATTTAAGTATCAAAACGTAGTTGAAGATGCAAAAAAATTTCAAAAGTATAAAAAATCGCAGTTGAGGGAAACAGATATGATAATTAAGTCCTTTACTAGCAAAATAAACTAGAATTTGGTATATGATATATTTCTATATACATCAACGAAAGAGCAAATTTTATTTTGATTTCTTACTAAACCAAACTGCTATTAATTTTACGACTTTGATATTAATTATATATGTACAATTTTACTTAAATATTTGTTATAAGAAAAGTATTTTAAAAATATCTTACCTGAACTCATAAACACAACACCAACCTTTTGCGTCAATTTTATTATTAAATCGAAAAACTAAATACAAGTTTAGCTTCAAATTCATGAAATTATTATTATTTGAAGTTAAATATAAATCACATATTTATGTTTGTCCGGACTTAAGGTGAGAAACCAAATATGCACTAAGACAATATCTGATGTATCTATCAAATCTTTTTAATGTTGAATTCATTTGGATCTCTTTTCTATATTCTTAAGAAAAAAAAGTAAATTTTGTTGGTTTTATTGTAACATATTTTTTCCCTATTATCGAAAATAATTTATAAAAAATAAAATTAGTTTAGCTACATATTTTATCGTTAAACTATTACTATTTTATGAGTTTATTAGTAATTTTTTTTATATGTTACCTTCATTTATTTTTTTCAATTTAACATATTTTAACAATATGTATTAAACTATTATTATTTTATGAGTTTATTAGTTATTTTTTTATATATGCTACCTTCATTTTTTGTTCAATTTAACATATTTCAACATGTTAAAGCGTCAAGAAAAGAAAAAAAAATGTAGTGAAAACGATGTCATTTCACAAAAATCGTTTTAAACAAATATCGCTTTGTTTTTCTTAATTACGTTTTATTATATTTCATTACATATTTAACAGATCAATGAAAAATTAAATGATAAAAGTGTAATGTTTTAAAATTTTAATACAAAATGTGTGTGAAGAGATAATTTGAATGTGTACAGAAAATTTGCGACTCTGAATAAATTTTGTAAATACAACGCAAGCAAACCAAAACATAGGACCACACGTAAACACGAAATCTATGAATACTTGGAATAAGCGAGGAAAGAAATGAGTGGTGTAAAAAATTTAAAAAATATTATTTAGAACTCAGAATTTTCAAAACAATAATTTTTTCGGTGTTTTTATTTTTATAATACAGAAAATGCTTGGCAACCCTTTTGTTGGTTATTATTAAAAAATACAAAAAGAAAATAAAATTGTGGCTTAAAAATAAAGAGACTGAGAGAGAAGAGAGCGTTGGAGTAAAAGACAAAGAAGATGATCTCAAGTTGATCACATTGAGGATTACAAGGCCACTGTCCATACATTTTGACATGTGTAGGCTACGGGTTTCATTACAATCACAATCTCTTTTCTATATATCCTTGTTCAGTTTCTGAATTTAGTTACAACCTCAGAAAACAAACAACCTTATTCTCAAACCAAACTGCATTATTCTCAAAGGTTTCTTCATTTTCATCCTTCACTACTTGTGAAGCTGCACCTGAAGTAGTGGAAGGAAGAAAGTTTCGCTGTTCTTGAGATGTCTGGTGTTCTTGTTTGGGTGAGTTGTTGGCCCAAAGAGAACATCAACTCCTTGGTGAGCTTTGCAGGCAGGAGTAGCAGTGGTGAAAGAAACCAAAGAAGGTTCTCAGGAGTCAGCTTTGCCAGTGGGGTTTCTGCTTTTTCCAGTGCAGTGGCAGCTGACACTTCAAGATCCTCAGAGGAGAGGGTCTATGATGTCGTGCTGAAGCAAGCAGCTCTTGTGAAAGAGAACAAAAGGGGTACAAACATTGGTTTAGATTTGGACAAAGATGTTGGAGCTGATTTCACCAATGGGGATCTGTTGAATGTGGCTTATAATCGGTGTGGTGAAGTCTGTGCCGAGTATGCCAAGACATTTTACTTAGGTAGTACTTGTTTCTTTTTTTCCCCTTTTCTAAGAAACTGTTACGTTACATGGTTTAGAATCATTATCTGTTCATTGTCCTAACCAATTGTCTTCAAAATGTAAACTTTTTAGGCACACAATTGATGACTGCAGAGCGACGAAAAGCGATTTGGGCAATTTATGGTATCTGTAATCAGATTACATTACATTTCTTACTGCTACTTTCAGGTTCTCCACTGAGATTTGTTTTGGATTTGACAATCTCATTGTCCTTTGCAGTTTGGTGCAGAAGAACTGATGAACTGGTTGATGGACCAAACTCTTCACACATCACCCCTGGTGCCTTGGACAGGTGGGAGCAACGATTAACTGATGTTTTTGAAGGTCGACCCTATGATATGTATGATGCTGCTCTCTCACATACTGTCTCAAAGTACCCAGTTGATATTCAGGTACTTTAAATGTTAAATCAAAGTTTGAGCTTTACACCCCTTTTGGACTATACTTACATGCTACTTTTTGTGTTATTCCTTACTGAAAATTTGAGTTTTATTTTTGTAATTTATGTTGGCCTTTGATGCAAACCTTTATTACTTAAGAATACCCAGATGAAATGAAGTAGAGGAGAGTCATTGATTCTGATGAAACAAAATTGTGAAACTTGTGTGCTGAAACGGATTCTAATGAAATCGAATTGTTCTTTGAAACAGCCCTTTAAGGACATGATACAAGGAATGAGGATGGACCTTAAGAAGTCAAGATACGAAAACTTTGATGAACTGTACCTTTACTGCTACTATGTTGCTGGAACAGTAGGCCTTATGAGTGTGCCAGTAATGGGGATAGCACCGGATTCAAAGGCTTCAACAGAGTGCATTTATAATGCTGCATTGGCTCTAGGCATTGCAAATCAACTCACCAACATTCTCAGAGACGTGGGAGAAGAGTAAGTTTCTTTGAACACTTCAACGCCATCCAATTAAACAAAACACAAAAAAGAAATGACATTTAACATCTTTTTCACTTAAGGGTATCTCACCATAACTTGCCAAGAAATGAAAAACAAATAGCAACATAACTAAAACGCAATATAAACTAGGCCTATGCCAGACAATGTTTAAATATATATGCACCAATTTTGTTGCATGATCTTGCGGAAATCTGATGGTTAACAATGGAAAAGCTTTTACACTATTTATGTTAGACTCTAGTTTTAGTTGTCCATAGCATTGCAATCATGTTGTCTAATTTGGTGTAGTTTTTTATGATTGCAGTGCCAGAAGAGGAAGAGTATATCTTCCACAAGATGAATTGGCAAAAGCTGGGCTTTCAGATGATGACATTTTCCGGGGTAAAGTTACAGATAAATGGAGGAAATTCATGAAGGGACAGATAAAGAGAGCAAGGATGTTTTTTGATGAGGCAGAGAAAGGAGTTGCAGAGCTAAACTCTGCTAGCAGGTGGCCAGTGTGGGCATCACTGTTGTTGTATAGGCAAATATTAGATTCTATTGAAGCCAATGACTATAATAACTTCACAAAAAGGGCTTATGTAGGAAAAGTCAAGAAGCTCTTGTCACTTCCTGCTGCCTATGGTCTTTCACTTCTAGGCCCTTAGAACTTCACCAAAATGGTTAAGAGAAAATAAATAGCTGTTACAATTTGTGATTACCTAGTTAGAATTGTATACATCTGAAGTTACCTAGATGTCTTCTACAACAGTTGCAATCCATTCATTATTTAATCAATTCCTTATCATAAATATTAGAAACCATTCTTCAAAGTTCTCTGAGTTATTTTTATACACACATGTTAAGATAACTAACAAGTAGAAAGATCCATAAACCATTACTCAAAGGTTTTGGGATAAAATGATGATATGATATTTTATATAAGTTTATTCACTACTCATTAGTGTTGTGTGTTGTCTCTCTCATCGATATTGTTAAGAATTCAAGTGTGACTACAAGTCCTACACTGGATAAAAATGAGAAAGTAGAGCACTGAAAGATCCATTAATCCATTGCTTTAAGATTTTGGATAAAGAGTTATCAGTCCTATATGATTAGGCTCATATTTGAGTTTTGATGAATTTGTTTTCCTAAAGGTTTCTGGTTTTTTGTTTCTTTGTATAGTGTATTTCAGTACAGAGAAATGCATGATTATTGATCTTGAAAACTCACCAAAGTAATGTTAGGAAAGGAGGAAGAAATCATGCTCCTCTTCTTATGGTCTCTCTCCTGCTTTCCTCTCCACAGACAAAAATCACTTTCTTTTAATACCATTTTATATAATCTATCTTATATAATATGATCAAAACTGTAAATACCATAAAATTTTGAAAATACATTGATGAAGAGATTAAAACATAGTTTTTGAATAGAAACCACAACTACTTTTCTCAAGATATAATTTTACTTTATTATATGCAATAAAAATTCTTACAGAAGATAGTTTTAAAAAAATTTAGTCAACATCTTTTTTTTTTTCATTCTAAAAAGGGTACTTTAGAATGTACATTTTACATTTCAGATCTTTTCAGTATAAAAAGAGATGTTTCATGAAATATTTGAAGTGCTAGATCATCAATCGAGGGTTATTCCCTTAACCACTCCACATTGCTTCTTACACCACTACATACCAAAAATACCTTTAACGGATTTCGAAATTTATTGAAGACTTGAAAAATCCTTCAACGGATATCAAAATTTGTTGAAGAAATTTTCCTTCAATAAATATCGAAATTCGTTGAAGAAAAGAAGTAAGAGCGTAGGATTTTTTTAAATGTAAAGGATAGTTTTAAAATTTTTAAAAAATGTGGTGGTGCAGAGAGCAATGTAGGGTGGTGTAGGGAGTAACCCTCTCATCAATTCTATTATGGGACACTTTTTTTGGGCTTTCTACCAATTAGGCTATGTTGGACTTTCAGCCAACAACTTCATGATTTTTCTACCTGTATCTTCATTATTACTAAATTCACCTCCATAAGGAAAAAATGTTTCTCTTACACCACGCTGCTGTCATAGTGGATGGATGCACTTCCATTTTCCATAATTATTTTCTTTATACCTGTAGCAATATGAATATTGAAAGGACATTCCTTTTAGCATAAAAGGAATTAAAAAAATTGAGCCTTTTATTTAGAAAAATTATTTTAGAATGCAATAGTTTTTATATTCTATATCAATCTATCTGAAAAAGAGTAACTCAATTTTTTTTAAAGGAAACTGGTACCATAATATAATAAAAATGGAGAAAGTGTTGGGCCTTTTGAAATTTAGATCCTTTGACCCAGATGATTAAAATAAGGGGAGATTTTTGAAAAAAATCTTGTGACATCCACTGTGAGTTTTGCTGGAATCCTTTAATACATAATTAGTTTAAATGTCTCTAACAACAATCATAACATAATCTCTTCTCACGTGTTCTTGACAAGAAGAAGAAAGAAAAATCCAATTGGACATGTGATATTAGATTTCTCTTTTCATGGTATACATCATTGTAAAAATAATCATTTTTAAGAAAAATCCATTACCTTGTCTTTATATATATGCTTTTAGTAAATAAAATTGTAAGAGTTTTCTCTCCATAGGACAAGAATGTTTAATTCATATTAATTAAAAATGAATAACTTAATTACTAACATTAAATTTATTTGTAATTGTAGTATTTTTTTATTCAAAAATATCTCTAGATATTTAATTTGTGGTGGGAATAATAGCACTAACATAAAATTAACCTCTTCACTTTTCACGAGAAGGAGAAAACTCATAACATTAACAATCTGTGAAATAATTAAATATGTTTTGGTGAAAAATAATTAAGAAATTCTTATAAAAAGAAATAAAAAGTTTCAAAATAGTAATCAATCCTACAACTAACAAAGGTAATCAATAAAAAATGACATCAAATAAACAGTTTTGTATATAAGTTGCAAATAATTATTTCTATTTATACATGTCATAATGTGGTCGAATCTAGGATGTTGATTGAGATATCAATGTAAGATTTTACAAGTACTTAAGCTTCTTGGAAAAGGATAAAAAATATACTACAAGCCAGTAGTTCTTCCTTTTTTCTTCATTTGGTCAAACAAGTGCAAGAAACAAAAATGAAGCTAGAAAAAATGTGCTTGTTCCTTTACCAAAACACTCTAATTTAACACAACATCTTATTTACTGAATATTCCAAAGCTTCTTCTTATACTTGGAAGTTGCAGTAGCAGAAGATGGAGTTCATTTTCTCCTCACTCTGTGGTTAAGACCTTCCCTCCGAGTAGAAGATGACGAAGAGGACACTGAAGATGAAAATGCTGAATGGTTATTTTCAGCCATATCTTTGTGAAATGCTTTCTGCACATCATCTTTAAGTTCCATGAATCGTGCTTTCTTCATTCTCTGCTCTTCTTCACTGCCTTTCTCTAGGAAGAACACATCTGGCATATCATCTTCCAGAAACTTATCAAGCACTTCTGAACAATGAGGAAAGAAGCGCCTACCATTCTCAACTGTACAAAATTCTGTGTTAGTTGCATTGATTTCATTTCCTTCTGTGTTACTCATGAAGTACCACAATTGCACATCGAACTTTATCATAAGAACAAAAGAAAAAGGCATTCTGCAGAACAACTTATTTTGTCACATATCAGAAGCACTACAAGGTATGAACTGGTTTTTATACTACAAGGCCATGCAAGCTTGATTTGGTATTAATTGACAAGTGTTGTTCGTATTTCACTATCATGCATAATCATTATAGGAAGCCATTTCAAAATTGTGTTAGGACATACCTGTTTTCATAAGGGCATGCAGTCTTAACTGAAGTTTTCTGGCTCGAGCAGAGGGAGATTCATTTAGATCAACTTCTTTTATATTTCCATATGTGCCCTTCAATGCTGATTCGTTTGCGTACAGTGATGAAGAATCTGCCTCAGCATTCTCAATGGCTACCCTAGCCTCAGCAGGAAACAACAACCGAGCAAATAACACTGCAACATATGGAACATGTTAATTTCATGTTCAAATGCCTCCAAATTGAAAAGCATCGTGCAAATACTGTTTCACTGTGATTCTGATGCATGCATGGACCTAAAGTAAAATGACAACTTATTATTATTATTATTGAAAGTCTTACATAGACTATAAACTATAAGTACGTGGGTGAAACCAGTTTACCTTTTAATAAAGTATCAAACTCATATTATAACCTATCTTTATTCAAGGTCTTCATTTCCTTATTTATGTGTAACTTTGTATTAAGATCTAGAGTCCATATCAAAAGCTTTATACATTTTAATATTCAAACTTTAAAAATGAATAATATAATTTTTTTAACCTAATTATATTAAAAAAAATTTAATGTGTCAAATAGGTTTGTTTCTTATCCGACATTGAAGTAAACACATATCAAATTATTTAAACAATTCAAATGCTAGCCTCGTTTAAGACACAAAAAAATTAACTTAAAAAAGATTATATCTATTATTTTTAAAATTTAAAGAACAAAATATATTAAAGATTCAACTAGATACGAATTTTAATTTTGCTTTAAAATTTATTAACTAAAAACATATTTAATTTTATAATCTATAACTCCGTGCTTTTGTATAAATATTTGTCTGAAGAAAAGATAATAAATTTCTGATTTTTACCCTTTCAAATTTCTAACTCAGACCCAATATTCATGGAAACAAAGTGACAGAGACAAGTGAAAGCCATACCTCTATCTTCAAGGTAATCCAGTCTCATGTGCAAATCATCAGCTGTTAACTGTGATGATACAGACATACTCACAGTCATAGAACTTCTTCTCATCTCCCTCTCCAGGANTCAAGGAATGAGGATGGACCTTAAGAAGTCAAGATACGAAAACTTTGATGAACTGTACCTTTACTGCTACTATGTTGCTGGAACAGTAGGCCTTATGAGTGTGCCAGTAATGGGGATAGCACCGGATTCAAAGGCTTCAACAGAGTGCATTTATAATGCTGCATTGGCTCTAGGCATTGCAAATCAACTCACCAACATTCTCAGAGACGTGGGAGAAGAGTAAGTTTCTTTGAACACTTCAACGCCATCCAATTAAACAAAACACAAAAAAGAAATGACATTTAACATCTTTTTCACTTAAGGGTATCTCACCATAACTTGCCAAGAAATGAAAAACAAATAGAAACATAACTAAAACGCAATATAAACTAGGCCTATGCCAGACAATGTTTAAATATATATGCACCAATAGTGTAGAATTTTGTTGCATGATCTTGCGGAAATCTGATGGTTAACAATGGAAAAGCTTTTACACTATTTATGTTAGACTCTAGTTTTAGTTGTCCATAGCATTGCAATCATGTTGTCTAATTTGGTGTAGTTTTTTATGATTGCAGTGCCAGAAGAGGAAGAGTATATCTTCCACAAGATGAATTGGCAAAAGCTGGGCTTTCAGATGATGACATTTTCCGGGGTAAAGTTACAGATAAATGGAGGAAATTCATGAAGGGACAGATAAAGAGAGCAAGGATGTTTTTTGATGAGGCAGAGAAAGGAGTTGCAGAGCTAAACTCTGCTAGCAGGTGGCCAGTGTGGGCATCACTGTTGTTATATAGGCAAATATTAGATTCTATTGAAGCCAATGACTATAATAACTTCACAAAAAGGGCTTATGTAGGAAAAGTCAAGAAGCTCTTGTCACTTCCTGCTGCCTATGGTCTTTCACTTCTAGGCCCTTAGAACTTCACCAAAATGGTTAAGAGAAAATAAATAGCTGTTACAATTTGTGATTACCTAGTTAGAATTGTATACATCTGAAGTTACCTAGATGTCTTCTACAACAGTTGCAATCCATTCATTATTTAATCAATTCCTTATCATAAATATTAGAAACCATTCTTCAAAGTTCTCTGAGTTATTTTTATACACACATGTTAAGATAACTAACAAGTAGAAAGATCCATAAACCATTACTCAAAGGTTTTGGGATAAAATGATGATATGATATTTTATATAAGTTTATTCACTACTCATTAGTGTTGTGTGTTGTCTCTCTCATCGATATTGTTAAGAATTCAAGTGTGACTACAAGTCCTACACTGGATAAAAATGAGAAAGTAGAGCACTGAAAGATCCATTAATCCATTGCTTTAAGATTTTGGATAAAGAGTTATCAGTCCTATATGATTAGGCTCATATTTGAGTTTTGATGAATTTGTTTTCCTAAAGGTTTCTGGTTTTTTGTTTCTTTGTATAGTGTATTTCAGTACAGAGAAATGCATGATTATTGATCTTGAAAACTCACCAAAGTAATGTTAGGAAAGGAGGAAGAAATCATGCTCCTCTTCTTATGGTCTCTCTCCTGCTTTCCTCTCCACAGACAAAAATCACTTTCTTTTAATACCATTTTATATAATCTATCTTATATAATATGATCAAAACTGTAAATACCATAAAATTTTGAAAATACATTGATGAAGAGATTAAAACATAGTTTTTGAATAGAAACCACAACTACTTTTCTCAAGATATAATTTTACTTTATTATATGCAATAAAAATTCTTACAGAAGATAGTTTTAAAAAAATTTAGTCAACATCTTTTTTTTTTTCATTCTAAAAAGGGTACTTTAGAATGTACATTTTACATTTCAGATCTTTTCAGTATAAAAAGAGATGTTTCATGAAATATTTGAAGTGCTAGATCATCAATCGAGGGTTATTCCCTTAACCACTCCACATTGCTTCTTACACCACTACATACCAAAAATACCTTTAACGGATTTCGAAATTTATTGAAGACTTGAAAAATCCTTCAACGGATATCAAAATTTGTTGAAGAAATTTTCCTTCAATAAATATCGAAATTCGTTGAAGAAAAGAAGTAAGAGCGTAGGATTTTTTTAAATGTAAAGGATAGTTTTAAAATTTTTAAAAAATGTGGTGGTGCAGAGAGCAATGTAGGGTGGTGTAGGGAGTAACCCTCTCATCAATTCTATTATGGGACACTTTTTTTGGGCTTTCTACCAATTAGGCTATGTTGGACTTTCAGCCAACAACTTCATGATTTTTCTACCTGTATCTTAATTATTACTAAATTCACCTCCATAAGGAAAAAATGTTTCTCTTACACCACGCTGCTGTCATAGTGGATGGATGCACTTCCATTTTCCATAATTATTTTCTTTATACCTGTAGCAATATGAATATTGAAAGGACATTCCTTTTAGCATAAAAGGAATTAAAAAAATTGAGCCTTTTATTTAGAAAAATTATTTTAGAATGCAATAGTTTTTATATTCTATATCAATCTATCTGAAAAAGAGTAACTCAATTTTTTTTAAAGGAAACTGGTACCATAATATAATAAAAATGGAGAAAGTGTTGGGCCTTTTGAAATTTAGATCCTTTGACCCAGATGATTAAAATAAGGGGAGATTTTTGAAAAAAATCTTGTGACATCCACTGTGAGTTTTGCTGGAATCCTTTAATACATAATTAGTTTAAATGTCTCTAACAACAATCATAACATAATCTCTTCTCACGTGTTCTTGACAAGAAGAAGAAAGAAAAATCCAATTGGACATGTGATATTAGATTTCTCTTTTCATGGTATACATCATTGTAAAAATAATCATTTTTAAGAAAAATCCATTACCTTGTCTTTATATATATGCTTTTAGTAAATAAAATTGTAAGAGTTTTCTCTCCATAGGACAAGAATGTTTAATTCATATTAATTAAAAATGAATAACTTAATTACTAACATTAAATTTATTTGTAATTGTAGTATTTTTTTATTCAAAAATATCTCTAGATATTTAATTTGTGGTGGGAATAATAGCACTAACATAAAATTAACCTCTTCACTTTTCACGAGAAGGAGAAAACTCATAACATTAACAATCTGTGAAATAATTAAATATGTTTTGGTGAAAAATAATTAAGAAATTCTTATAAAAAGAAATAAAAAGTTTCAAAATAGTAATCAATCCTACAACTAACAAAGGTAATCAATAAAAAATGACATCAAATAAACAGTTTTGTATATAAGTTAAAAATAATTATTTCTATTTATACATGTCATAATGTGGTCGAATCTAGGATGTTGATTGAGATATCAATGTAAGATTTTACAAGTACTTAAGCTTCTTGGAAAAGGATAAAAAATATACTACAAGCCAGTAGTTCTTCCTTTTTTCTTCATTTGGTCAAACAAGTGCAAGAAACAAAAATGAAGCTAGAAAAAATGTGCTTGTTCCTTTACCAAAACACTCTAATTTAACACAACATCTTATTTACTGAATATTCCAAAGCTTCTTCTTATACTTGGAAGTTGCAGTAGCAGAAGATGGAGTTCATTTTCTCCTCACTCTGTGGTTAAGACCTTCCCTCCGAGTAGAAGATGACGAAGAGGACACTGAAGATGAAAATGCTGAATGGTTATTTTCAGCCATATCTTTGTGAAATGCTTTCTGCACATCATCTTTAAGTTCCATGAATCGTGCTTTCTTCATTCTCTGCTCTTCTTCACTGCCTTTCTCTAGGAAGAACACATCTGGCATATCATCTTCCAGAAACTTATCAAGCACTTCTGAACAATGAGGAAAGAAGCGCCTACCATTCTCAACTGTACAAAATTCTGTGTTAGTTGCATTGATTTCATTTCCTTCTGTGTTACTCATGAAGTACCACAATTGCACATCGAACTTTATCATAAGAACAAAAGAAAAAGGCATTCTGCAGAACAACTTATTTTGTCACATATCAGAAGCACTACAAGGTATGAACTGGTTTTTATACTACAAGGCCATGCAAGCTTGATTTGGTATTAATTGACAAGTGTTGTTCGTATTTCACTATCATGCATAATCATTATAGGAAGCCATTTCAAAATTGTGTTAGGACATACCTGTTTTCATAAGGGCATGCAGTCTTAACTGAAGTTTTCTGGCTCGAGCAGAGGGAGATTCATTTAGATCAACTTCTTTTATATTTCCATATGTGCCCTTCAATGCTGATTCGTTTGCGTACAGTGATGAAGAATCTGCCTCAGCATTCTCAATGGCTACCCTAGCCTCAGCAGGAAACAACAACCGAGCAAATAACACTGCAACATATGGAACATGTTAATTTCATGTTCAAATGCCTCCAAATTGAAAAGCATCGTGCAAATACTGTTTCACTGTGATTCTGATGCATGCATGGACCTAAAGTAAAATGACAACTTATTATTATTATTATTGAAAGTCTTACATAGACTATAAACTATAAGTACGTGGGTGAAACCAGTTTACCTTTTAATAAAGTATCAAACTCATATTATAACCTATCTTTATTCAAGGTCTTCATTTCCTTATTTATGTGTAACTTTGTATTAAGATCTAGAGTCCATATCAAAAGCTTTATACATTTTAATATTCAAACTTTAAAAATGAATAATATAATTTTTTTAACCTAATTATATTAAAAAAAATTTAATGTGTCAAATAGGTTTGTTTCTTATCCGACATTGAAGTAAACACATATCAAATTATTTAAACAATTCAAATGCTAGCCTCGTTTAAGACACAAAAAAATTAACTTAAAAAAGATTATATCTATTATTTTTAAAATTTAAAGAACAAAATATATTAAAGATTCAACTAGATACGAATTTTAATTTTGCTTTAAAATTTATTAACTAAAAACATATTTAATTTTATAATCTATAACTCCGTGCTTTTGTATAAATATTTGTCTGAAGAAAAGATAATAAATTTCTGATTTTTACCCTTTCAAATTTCTAACTCAGACCCAATATTCATGGAAACAAAGTGACAGAGACAAGTGAAAGCCATACCTCTATCTTCAAGGTAATCCAGTCTCATGTGCAAATCATCAGCTGTTAACTGTGATGATACAGACATACTCACAGTCATAGAACTTCTTCTCATCTCCCTCTCCAGGAGATCAACACAGAGTCTATCCTTGTTAGATTCCTTACCCTGCACTGTTTTCTCATGATAATCCTTGCGTCTTGTCAACCTCTGACAAATTGAAAGAGCAGTTTGACCATCTGGAGTGGTATCTGTTGCACATGCCCCTTTATTCAGCAGTGCCACCAAAATGGATGGATCCTTTCGCCTTGCAGCCACATGAAGAACCGTGTATCCTCGGGAATTTCTCCGAAGAATATCAGCCATACCTAGACCAAGAACTTCTTGAATAACCTTAGAATCACTGTAGGCACAGGCATAGTGCAGCGCATGTGCATCATCTAGAGTGACTCTAGACTCATTTAGAAGAAGCTTCAGAAGCTCAACATCATCAGAGTCCAATGATTTATGGATTCTGCTGATACTCTTTTCACTCAAAGGCTCCACTTCCATTGTATCAGCTGCCGATTCTGGCTGAGATGAGAGACGGCACGATTTGATTTCAGCCACAACTTCATAAGGGAGCTCTTTTTCCAAAGATATGATGTCAAAGTCAGACCTTGCAACTCTGTGAATGCACCGAGAGAGAAGCTGGTCTATTTGGCAGTTGAAAGCAGCCAAAAGAATAGGAATCACATCTTCCACAAGAGCCTTCTCAACAAAGTTTAGCAGATGCCGCTGCATCAGTGAAGAGACATTCACATTATATAGCAGGAGCCAAAAGTATGCATGTGTTCTTGCATGCAGGCTAGGAGTACATCTGTTTCAGAATATGTTTGCTAGGAAAATAGATAAAGTGTTTGAACACATTCCTAAAGATAAGCATGTAAATTTCGAAACAGTTTCCAAAACCTGCAAAAACTATAATGTTTATATGCTGTTTGTCTTAGGTAATAGGTGAACTTTGGGAGTACTTTTTCTGGTAGTATTAACAGGGGGTGGTTGAGTTTTTCAGCCAAGAATGATCAGTGAAATTG